CATTTCTGTCGTTAAGTTTTACCTTGCAAGTAAATAAAACCGAGTAATTATCATTCTGTGTTTTCTTCTTCAACATATCACAGCAATAGTAACAACAATTAGGTAATCATTGGCTGTCGCGGGCCAGATTGATGACAGTAAATCATTGGCTGTCGCGGGCCGGATTGATGACACGCGGGCCGTAGTATGGAGACCCCTGGTCTAGTGTAACGGTCGAGTAACGGGTCAGTCCACTAATAACATTTTAGAGTTCATTTTTAAAAATTTTTGAACATTGATAGTGACATATCTAATACTGAGTACCTAGACACTGAGGAATCTCAGGCAACGAGAAACCAGTTGTGGAGGGAGCAAAATTTGTCGTAGGGACCAGATCAGGAAATGGTTCAATAAGAATCAAAGAGTGCTGAGAAAATACCCAAAATTCTACTCATGCACAAAATACTACTCATTGGACATTGTCCATTTAGTGAAATGAACAAAATAGTGCTCTATAACTGTAGACAGAGCAACACGGGGGCAGAAACATCTCAATGCGTTTCATGTGATTGTGAGGCATATCACAGGAGACAAACAATTTATGGAAAACCCAAAGAATACCCACAAGAATATGAGAAACATCCAATGAAGGATCTGTATAAACTAATACAGGGAACAAGATTGAGGCTACTGTGTAAGAAATGAATAAGTCTGATGATTCCCAAGTAGCAAAAAACATCCCCTGAAGATTTATCTTTTTATAGAACGAGTGATCAACTCTGTCTAGAAACAGGTTATTTGACTTCTCAGTAGCAAACTACATCTCCGATTTTATCTAATGGAAAATTATTTACAGTGACAAAACAAAAAATTACCTATGGTATTCCTCAAGGTTCTATTTTGGGTCAGATATTGTTCAATATATACATCAATAATTTATTTTTATATGCAAACTGAAGGAAAATTCAATCTTTTGCAGATGATATGGTGATTTCATATACCACTAATAGCTGCTGTAATTTAGAAGTAAGTGTAGAAGCAGATTTCAAAAATATCAAGAAATGGTTTGATAGTAATTCATTAACGATACATTTTGAAAAAACAAATATTTGACTTTCAGTTCTTGCCAAAATTTTTCACCAAAATTTGGTCCACTCAAAATTAGTGAGAGTATCAAAATCTTCAAGGCTGACTGTATCAAGTATTTGGACATAATGATTGACAAACATTTGAGATGGGATAATTTGAATTTACTTTATTTTGCGCTGGCTCAATCACAACAGCAATATGGAATATTAGGCTGCGGCGGAGTGAGTAGAACCTACTTGACTGAACTTGAGGTTATTCAAATTATATTATTATTATTAGTATTTGTTTTGACATTGGATTTTCATGAGATGGATAATTGGTAAATGTTATCAATATATCTCACGACGGCAAAGATGCCAACATGAGAGACTACATTACTGATGCCTTCTACGTTGGCTACAACTGTTTGTTGAGGTACGCCAATTTTTCTATATAAATAATGCCCCTTAGGAGAATAAGATTGCTGCTGTTAGGTAAGGGAGGGGGGGGGGTCAGCGTCTGTGAGCCTACAGAATTTCTTTGTTGAGTTTGTATTGAATTTGACTTTTTATTGGTTTCAATGGATTTTTTCAATTTCTTTATTTTGATGTAATGTATTTCCAATTTTACACGAGTTATTCTTTTTGCTATGCCTATGCTATTTCCCTATGGCATAATGTAACTCAGAGCCAAATGCTTCCAACGGTTTGATAGCAAAACAGTGCAGCATAGTGTTCATTGATGAACACATTTGTAAATTGGTGACCTGATGAACATACTGGTGCAACTAGTCAGATTATAGAATATTGTTTATTAACGTGAGGCTACCCTAGGTCTTGATGAATTATTCCTTTCCAGTAAAAGGGAACAATAAAGCTGCTTCAACAATCTATAAAGAATGGTTAGAACTGTTACACCTATCATGTATCAACTCAAAGTTGAAAGAGTTTAAAACCATGTTGCCAGAACCTCTTGAGGAAAATAATAATCATGACATTCAAAGATGAGGTCCTTATTTTTACTCAAATTGCAAAGCCGATTATGTATATAGACCACGTAGGAGTGCACATTCATATTTTCAAAGTTTGAAATGTTTGTAGGAAACATGTAACATTAACAAGAAAAATAAAAAACCGATATTTTTAACCTTCAATAAATTACCATTAATAGAATCAGTAGGGACTTCAATATTTTATTCATTACAATGTATTGAACACTCATACCAATATTTAGCTCTATGCAACTCAATGAAAACTTCCCACATTAGTTTTGTTCATTTTGACTACATTGAAATCCAACTTTTTCTTTCCCAACTTATATTATTCATGGATTTTATCTGAATTAATGTATACTGCTTACTGTTCACTTATTCAATATCATTTGAACAATGAATTCGACCAATCACATGGCAGTGCCCACCATAAGCAGACCAAATGTCAATAAAAAAAAAACATTTCGCAACCCCCCTATATAGTAACAGTGAATGCACAAGGATAAAATTGAGTTGGCACTATGAATAATTCTTCACAATTCTCAGTAAACAGTATCTCCCGTGTTCAAGATCAGTTTGTATTTATTCTTCTCTTAAATATATAAATGTGCATCTACCTGTATCAAACTCATTTATTTCATTCATTAGCTCAACAAGCTCAACACAATTACTGAAAATACAAATATTTGTTTATAATCATATAAAAAAGAAACAGGAGAAACACATATGTATAAAGTTACTTATTTTTAGTATTTTTTGTTTTATTTTTTTATTAATTATTTCAACATAAAAATAAAAAGTGAATTAAACAGAAAAACAAATAGCAGTAGATTCATTTTCAGTTTGTAAGAACAAAAGATTATTATATTACAAAATAAAAAGGTCTTATTTACCTGGAGGTGGTTGTACTGGTGCTCCAGTATACCTAAAGTAGGGATTCTTCAAATCCAAAGTATTTTTTGAAGTCTGGGTAGTACCTTCCACATTCAACTCAATTGTAACATCATAACTTTGTCTTTTATTTGCTAAAAGCAGTACCCTGCCTGTCAATACTTGTCCCTGTTTCAACAAAAGTGGCTGCTCTAACAAACATCTCACCTGATACCAGTGGGTCAAAGGTTCTGTAGGTGCTGTACTCAACCAAATTGTTTGCTGGGATCCAGTAAATGCAACATCAAACCAAAATGCTAGCCCGTGACATGTACCAGACTCTAAAATATGAAATTCTAATGGTACATCGATTGTGTGAAGATCAGTTTCTTCTGCCTCCAAAAAGTCTACAACATGCCTTAGAGATTTACTCATACAAATTCTAACGTCAAAGGTGTCTACAATAGGTTGTCTGAAATATTCTTTCACAGCACAGTTTTGAAGGGCTGATAAATTAACTCCATGAAAACAAGTTTGGAACCAGAAATTTGCTTTGCTATATTGCTCCATATACAGAGCATCATCTGTAAAAGGAGCTATATGTAAGTCACCTCTGGAAGGATACATTTTACCTCCAGGAACAAGCCATCTTTTGGCATTCAAATAAGACTCCAACATTCGCTCATTGTACAGCATATAACCCATTGGTTCAGATATTATGATATCCACTTTTTCAGGTAATTCAATTTCTTCTATTTTACCTGGAATAACCTTGATAGAACTGGATAGATGATTGGCTTCAACTAACTTTTGCGCATAATGTGCCATTGTTGAAGCTTCTACAGCATAAATTCGTTTAGCTCCTGCCTGTGCGGCAAAAAATGATAAAATGCCTGATCCTGCTCCTACGTCTAACACTATTTTGTCTTTGAAATCATCTAAATTACATAATATTGCTCTTTGATAAGTGTAAGTTCTCACAAAATCTTGAAGCATATTTTGTTGTTGAGAAAGATATCCATAAAACTGGAAGTACTGGGTTGCTGAAGAATCTTCAGTTCGAACAGAAAATACAGAGGCATCCTTACCAGATTTAACTTTTGTTATTGCTACTGTGAACTGTCTAGCTTCATCTTTATTACTAAATTTCACTAATAATGTATCATTGTCAATAGTAAATATATAAGAAGAAGAGCCCACACGACAACATTCTGTACTTGAATCTACGGGGAACTCGAGAAGCTGGTTACACTCGTCAATGTCTAAAATTCTTATGCTAATTCCTTGAGGATCATAGTCCGCCCTCAATTTCACTTTTCTGTTATATTTTGGTAGTGTTTGGTTATCTTCATCAACGTTAAAAACATCCACAATCCACATTTTTAGCGCCATTTCGAAAAAACTGTACTAAGAACTGAGGTTAGAGCAATTTCAAAATGAATTATCGTAACAAATCACCAACTGTGACTAGAAATATGTAATAAGACGTCGATACTTTGTCATTTAATGTATTAACAATATTAAGTACTGAATACTGTCAATATTACTCAGAAAACAAGCACCAAACACACAAAGCATTTCCATTAAGACATTTTAATTTTTATAAACGAAATAGCAGATATGACAAATGATAGGACGGAAGGACAGTGTTGTCAGATAATACGATACGAAACATACGATTCATATTGTTTTCCATTGCTAGAAGCAGTACACACTTGTGTACCCCTATCTCCTATTTTTTAACAATAATAACCCTAGTTCACATATGATTTTACTAATTCATTTCACCCATCAATTATGAATTTCAATTCGCAAATGTTCTGGTGTTCTGGAATCTTGTGATCACCGAATGATGTCATTGAAAATCTTACTGAAGGATAAATATACGGGAAACTAAAAATAGCTGACTCGTACATGTATGTAAACATATATTAGTGAATCAATGAGACAACGAATATTGAGAATGTATGAATAGGGTTTCTTATGGCACCATTATGATCATTTCCATATTGATTTCAATTTAAGAGCCACTGGTAGACATCTGTTTCAGCCTGTTAGCCATCGTCAGTACCTCGATTGAAGACAAAATATGAAAAAAGTACTTGATATGATGATATCGGTGGAATAAAAACAACAATAAAAATTATTTGGTACTCCAGGGCGACTTCATTGATTCCAGTGGCGCATTTGCTTTTTCAGCTCCAGGAAAACCCGGAGAAACCTGCAGCACCACATCGTCTGAAGATCTTGATCTGCCAATGTCCTCTCCCTCTCATAAAATAAAATGTAGAGTGTCTCTAGAGGCTCCAACAGATTCAATACATCGCCAGAACCAGAACATGACTATATGATTCAATACATCGCCAGAACCAGAACATGACTATCACCAAACTTAAACCAGTCCGTTTCGTCTTTGACCAAGGCGTAATAATGAACAAATTCAACGCCAGAACCACAGTGAACATGGATTGGATTAGAGTGGAGCTTAAACAAGAGAAGGGTCTAAGGAGTGGAGCAATGATGTCAACGTTATGTTGATATGTTTGAACCTCAACAGTCTTGCTAGGTTTCAAGATGACCAATCCATACTGTAGAAAACTAAACAATTATATATATACTATGTCTATATTGAAATATCTATGGTTCAGGCTGAACAAAAAACGTCTTGTTCTGTGTGTTTGATCCTCACAAGGAGTATTTTCACAACGTTTCGGAAGGGTCGCATATGTCATCTTCTGGTTTTGTCTGAAATAATTAGTGACTGGATTAATTATAAATCGGTTCAATTCGTGAGGTTGCAGTCAATAGCTGGGCTGTTACAAAGAAAACTCTTTGTTATATGTCAGTCTGAATCATAGATATTTCAATATAGACATAATATATATAATTGTTTAGTTTTCTACAGTATGGATTGGTCATCTTGAAACCTAGCAAGACTGTTGAGTTTCAAACATATCAACATAACGTTGACAGCATTGCTCCACTCCTTAGACCCTTCTCTTGTCTAAGCTCCACTCTAATCCAATCCATAACCTGAAATAGAAAATCCATTAAACGTGTTCTGTGTCTGTGAACTCGTCAGAAATGTATATATAAAACTAATTTATTACACTCTCAACAATTATTGACAAGATGACAAGTGATAAGTAACTACTACTATTTGTATAAACTTAATACCTCTGTCAGTGTTTAATGGCAAAATATTTCTTTCGACTTAGAAATATTTTTCCTAAATCTCTCCATTATTGACAAGAGTGAAACTGATATAAAATTAGTGATGGCGCAGATTAGGTTAGTATTGTTTTTCTATATTACACTTTTTTAATTTATCGTTTTCATAAGGCAGTAATTTTGAGTCAACTAATTAGATTATTTCTTACACTGCAGGAAACGAGGACGACATCATCTAGAAGAGGAAGTTGAATTTATGCCTTTGTCCAAAAGAATAAATAATCTTCACATCAATAACCCAATGTTATTGGAAAATACACCTTCAAATCCTGTTGAATGGGGTCCAGGACCACCAGGTTATGGAACTAATTTGCCAGGGTCTGGATCAACAATAGAACCTAGACAAAATTTCAACATGCCTCAATATCATCCTCAATATTCTCCAGGTCTGAACGAGAATCAGAATCCACATTACTTCAACATTAATAAACTGCTATTTGAAATGTATATTCAAAGGATCCAAAGAGGATGTCATCAGACTTGATGATTGTTTTTGACTGCTACATCTTCATTATATTCATCTTGAAACTTTTCCATATTTGACTTTCTACTTTTTCATGTGAGTTTATATATACACTTGTATTGTGTGTATTTATTATTATTTTAATATATTTTTATAATCACCTTATAAGTCTCGTTTCATCTCTGAACAGGCTTATGCTGGTTACTCAATGTCTCGAAGAACTGTTTATTTTTCATGATTTTGAGAATTGTATTCTCACTGTGGAAACATTGTGTAATGAATGTTTTGATTATCTGTGATACAACCATTATAGGAATTCTTCTAGGGACAATTTCCTTGGATAATAAAATATCATAAATCATTTTGAAGTTCTGAATTGTGGGTTCCTTCAGAAATACTGCTTAACTTTGGTCTCTCAAATTTTATCTGCTTTCTCATAAGATATGCTGATATCTATGAAAACTCTGATCTCATTAGTATGCCTTTTTTAATCTGCAGCGTGACCAGAAAAGTCTGCATTATGAGAGGTATTTCTTATTAATAGCTGTTTTCTTAAAACAAACATCAGTTCCTAGTTTGGTAGAGATGAAAAATAACCAATAATGAAAAAACTAAATCATACAATAATAAGCAACCACATAAAACTTCTAATTTTGAAAATTCATCATTCTAGACAATCTGACTGGATTACTTTTACCCTTTGTACACTTACTGTAATAACTCCAATATACAGAAGCGCAAGGAACTTATTTTTATTGATATTTTTTACTTGTTGAAGAATTTTGCTTTCTCGAATGTATGAGAAGGTTGAATTGAAAACACAATGTTTTTCTCAAATGAAAAAACCAGATCTTGAGGACAAAGTTGAAATGTCAGAAAAAATTGAAAATAAGTTGAAATATAATGAAAAAAGTCGAGTCGAAATGAAAGAAAGGCAACAGTGTTGCCTTTTTATATTTTTGGATTTAGCAATAGGATTTGACTCACTGAAACAATATAGTACACTAATATATTATTTACAATAGTACAATATAGTACACTAATATATTTATTTATATCCCCATAAGGGCTAAAAATTGTATTTAGTAAAACTTCATTTTCAATCTCGATTGAAATAGAAATTAATGCTAAAGTAAAGTTTCAAATAAAGCCATTAATAAAGATATCTCATAATAAATTGCAACCTTTGTTGTCACACCGCATGCCATCTTACTTTATAATAATACTGCAGTTCAGACTTGAAAGGATTCTCATTTCATTCGAATTAATAAGTTTTACAAACTTTTGAATTATATCTGATTTACTTAGATTTTCTTCTCATATTATGACTGAAATGAATTAAATAAATGAATAATTTTTAAAGTTGTTTCTCTGCATTTGTAGTATTTTTATGTTCATACATTTTTTGTAAAGATTGAATTTCCTTGTTTCTTGGGAAAAATTGAAAGAGTCTGAAATGGTAATTCTGTACCTATTTCTTTTCCTATATTCGAAAAAGTTGAAGATGAGATTTTTAGCTTCCACTGCTTAGAAACTTGGGGAACTTCCAAAGCAAGGGAGAAAGAATGCAATTAAGTTCAAAATAAACTCTTTACAAAGATGTGTAATCCATGCAAAGAAGATTCTTTCAAATACAAACTGAAAGAAAAAGCCCTCGCGAAACAACTACTCCCACAGGAATATTGAATTACACGAAAGAAAAAGTACTTTTGAAATAATTACTCTCACACAAACATTGAATTACATAAAAGAAACAACTATTTTCATATGAACATTGAATTATATGAAAATAACTTTCCTATTCAGTTTGGATTTCAAACTTCAGTTAAGGAATGCTAAACAACAGTTACACTATAATATTTCACTTACGTGGAACACTGTCTTTTAAAACAGAAACAGATTCAATTTGGCAATAGTTTCTATGAGAATGATTTATAGTGGTCGGAATATAAAAAAACAAAAAAAATATAAACAATTCAAAAAAATGATAAAGAAACAATACTTATCAGAAGCAAATCAATGAGTAGATTTGTCTCATCTATGACAAAGTCAAAATATCATTACTTAAATGATTGCTTCGTCTTTTACTATTATCCAGAACAAAGCTGATGAGGTAAAAAGACGAGTGTCTCATTCTGAAAATTAGTAGTCTGCCATTGAGGATGATAGTGTTCCATGTAAGTAAAAGTTTACTACATAACTTTTTCATATATTATATTTTGTAGCGTTCCTATGAATTGTATCTGATTCAATTCCATAACGAATGTTTGAAATACAAACTGAATAGGAAAAAGTAATTTTTGCATAGTTCAATGTTCATATGAAAGTAGATGTTTTGAAAAAAAAAATTGTGTAAATCAATGTTCGTGTGAAAGTAGTTGTTTCGGAACTCTTTCAGTTTGTATTTGAAAGTAACTTCTATGCATGAACTTAATCACTTTCTTCCTTTGGAAGTTCCCCACAATTTTTGTATGAAGATAGAGAAGTGAAAACCAGAAAGTTTTTCCCCAAAAACTAATCTTTCCTAAAAATATACCCCTTTTAATTTTGAAGATAACTGTTTCAGGCTCCATCAGGTACATGGAAGTAGAACTCAAATTTGAGTGACGAAACGCGCGTCGAGAGAGTACAACTGAATCGTTTTATAAGGATCTGATAGAGGAAAACTAGAAATTCCAATGGAGTGTGACTACAGAACAGAATGGTTGAAATCACAAAAAAATATTGGAATGCATTCGAAAAAGTTTATTGGAAGAATGTTTCTCTAGTTTGACAAAGAGTACAAATTGAACAAATGATGGAAACCTGCTGTAAAAAAAAGATAAAAATACCCAGGAAATTGTGGAAATTAGATTTATCCATGACGCGACGAAAGAGTTTACATAGTGGATGTGAAGACTGTTACACGAGAATTAAACAATATTACAGGTTATAGACATTGGATTACAAAAATACCATATTAATGTATCTGAATCATCAATGAACTTTACCAAAAAATAGATCAGAGCAATGTATAACAGTAGTAACTGCAGCAGACTGCTCAACAAATTGCTCGACTTTTCTTGTAGCAGGCTAGTCTTCTACAAATACCACAGATTAATATACATTTTATAAGTGCGTCAAATTGGCAGTGCAATCTATGTTTGTAAACTTGATATGCTTGTCTGGGCTTATAAAGATTCTGTTGAGATACAGATTAAGTCTTGCATATTCCACGAGAAGTATATATTCTACTTTTTTTTGTGGTATCTTGAAACAGATTTAAAAAAAAATCGGTATATAAAAAATAAAAAGATTCATTTGTAACTAAAAACAATCATAAAATAAACAATAAGGTGATGTCGGTCATGAGTTTTGGTGGATGTGGTACCTCGAAAGAGTCCTACGGAACATGTCAAATTTCCGTGCCGGAAGTTCATGAGCTAGTGAATGTGAAAGTGTTGAGATTATTGTATCGAGTCTAAAATTTTGACTGCCATGGTAATTATCAGCATGATTATAAAAATATAGTAAATTGGCAGACTGTGGAAGTTTAAACTTTGAAGTTGAAGTTACAAGAAATATTTACATTGACAAAAATATTGTCCTGAATGATCACCACTATGAATTGCGTGCAGTGGTTTTTCATCCCGATTAAAGCCCTGAATCAGTAATTATTATACTATGAGTGGTTTGTAATCAATGATGCCTTGAACAGTGCTTCGATGTGGTAGTTGTAGGAGAGATTCAACAGAATCTCCATATACGTTCTTATTTATAACAGATTATATAACTTTATTAACGTAGACACTCGTTAAGATAGTGCTGTAAGATTTTTCTCAAGGTTTTTTATTGCAGCCATTTATAGAACGCCGTCTTGGATTACCTGCGTAGTTCTATATTGGTTTTTTTATTATAATATTTATACCTACGTAGTAAAAACTTCGAAACAAATTCCATAATTATGAATGAGTCTACCTGTGGTAAATTATTGTGTGTACCTTAATGAAACTTTTCTGAACTGAACACATCTTCATTCAAATATCAAACATTCAATGTTTCATTTTCATTTTTTGGTTATCACTGGACATGTTACATAATGTTGTAAATCATGCCCGAAAGGAAATAACGCCGGCCGCCACTGGTAACCATAAACCAAACGTGACGTAACTAAAAGCGCGAGAATGCCCAATGTTCCCTGTCACTCGAGAAGCAACAAAGAACTTCAGCGAAAATTCTACGATGTTCCATTGCGATATTTAAACGCTGTTCGCTATTTCGGACGTTCCGCAATATTGTATTCAGAGAAACGTCATATTATTTTTCGTATTCTTTCCACCAAAACCTTTCATTCGTTGTCTATAACATGGGAGTGTATCAAATATTCGCTAATTCGCCAATTTAGCCGCTCCGCCACATTTAATTTCGATGAAATTTTCGATAGTGATAAACCAAAACCTGTTTAAACTAGTCTAGTGGAATAGTCATAATTTTGAAAGTTCTAAACCATACCTAAACCACATTTTCACAAATGTGGTTTAGGTATATGCACCATTTGATTGGTACATAACTGGGTGAAACTTTAGGGCAATGATGGATTTTTAGAAAGGAACAATTTCATGGATGATGTCAACTTGAAACAAAAAGAATATTTCTCCAGATGCAAAATTCCATTTCACTTTGCAATGATCATCTACGCTCCACGGATGTAGGGAGTAGGGAGTTGCTGTTAGGTAATGACGCCGATGCGCCCTTCTTATGTGTTAGAACTTCGGAATTCGGAAAGCAAAAAATCCAAATAATAAAAATAATATAAAACTACTTTTCATTGGTGGCAATGATAACATAAGAAGAGAGATAAAAATATCAAGTTTTGTCGATGAGATGAGATGTCGATGAGAATAAGGCCTTGGTCAACAAAATAATTTGAAAAATCGTAAGGGTAAACTACTCTTCGAAAAAGGTAGATTCAATCCAGATTGAAATATTGAGTTTGATCGAAATATTTCTATGGGAAGTTTATGGTCAGCAAAATATTTTGGAGAATTACAGAAGTAAACTATCCTCATTTCAATGTTATGTACGATGGCATCAATATCGAGTAAAACTCATGTATATTTTTAATATGAACGTGTTATTCGGATTATGAATGTCTTATTTGAACAATGCTTTTTTGGTTAGCAAATCATCTACACTAACAATTTTGAATTTTGAACCACAATATAGGTATTTTGAGATTCAGAAAACAGAAAGAAACATTTTAGATTGGCTTCTCTGGAAACAAGGATGGAATTATTACGAAATGGACATAGCGAATTCGGATATTTCCATTGATAATTTAACGTATTCCTATACAATTGGTCTAATGTACCTTCTCCGCTTTTTTGAACAATGGATTTCAATTTTGAATTTAAAAACATCACATCTGATACCAATCAGTCAAAATATAATTTACTGTCAGAAGATTTTTCTCTCATTGATAAATGATAACTCATTTCAAATATTCAACGAAAGTAGTTTATTGTGTAGGAAATCAGAGTTTTTGTCGATCTTCTTCCAGATTGCGGAAAGTGGAAAATACCTGAAGGAGGTCGACAGAAACAAAAAGTAATTTGGTATCTATAAAAATATTCAAATATATCTTTCATACGTTAACACAACTTAGTTATAGATGTTTCATATGTAGTAGTTATTATGGGGAAGTCACTTGATAGTTTTTAAAATATTATAATGAATAAACATTTTTAGAGTTTATTCATATACTCATTCATATGGCAATATTCAAAATCTTCCTAGAGTTTGACGTTCGAATTGTCAAACCTAGGTGTCGCTCCCTCCCTGGTCTTTCCGAACATCACTTATAACAAAACTTGGTTTGTTGATGATATTCTGTCATTAACATCTTTAATTTTCAATCAAGAAATAATTGAATCACTCCTCATTGTACATTACCGCTTGACGGTTTTTATCACAACGTGTGAAAAGTTAGGCCAACCTTTCAACGTATATAATCGTTACGGCACGACATTGACGACATCTGTTACATATAATTTCAAACATAATATTTTCTTTTTGTTGGACAATCAAAATAAATTATTCAAATAAAAGCTGACTTCTCAGTTCAACACTCATACTTGCCAATAAAATGGATCAATGAACAAATAAATTGCTGATACAGTGAAAGAAAAATAAATGCCCAACTATTTTCATTACCAGATTATATAACAAGTCATTGAACATTTTGTAACAAGGGAATTTCATCGAAATCGAAAGTAGACAATTGATGAAGTATGGCATTTTTCGTATTAACATTTTTCTTTGACACGACTTCAATTAATTAGGGTCTGCTACAAAAACCTGTACTAAAAATTAAGAAAAACATATTTTTCGGCGCGAAAATTCAAATTAAAACTGTACATATCACATGCCCACTGCGTCTACGCAAAAGCAAGCTCTTGGCAAGCCTCGACATATCTGACATGAATCGTTTGTTGGAAGAAGTGGCGGTGCTTTGTGTTCGTTAAAGAGCTATCATAATTATTCGTTGCAAAAAGGTAAGCGATAATAATTTATTATATTTTCGTAAGTAGGGTGACCTACACCTACTGCAGCCAAACCTTTTCGCGGGTCGTGGGTGTTTTTGGGGTAGGGAGCTTCGTCGCTGTGATGTAGAGTTTTGTGGAAGGGGTGCTCCGAGTGTATTCTGTATTCTGGTAGGATATATTCATCCCCACATTCTTCCAAAACCACCACCACTTGCCTCCACCACGTTGTTCAGCGTCATCGCCATAGATACGATTCGCATTTCCCAGAGTTTGGACATTACTAGTTATTATTTAGTTCACTTCAAGGTCGTTTACCTAACGGAATAATTGTGTGAACATTAACCATTCAGGATGATTCATATTTTTCCATACTCAATTGAAATATTTTTCAGTTGTGTAGGTATTTCCATCTACTGAAAAATTTTGTTCGTTTTTTTTCTAGTTTTGTAGAAAACTTCGAAATTCCACAAATAACCTAAATACGCGTCATTTTAATTAATTTATGTTTCACTCAGTTTTGATACGGCTTCACGGTTCCGTGACTAACTACCTTGCCTACCTAGCGATGCAAAGCTAAAATGCTTTGAATCTTTATGGGGTTGATGTTTATATACAAGACGGGTCTATTAACTGAAGCAATAGTTGAATATTTATTCAAATGTAGAATTTTATGCTATATAAAAGTGAAAAAACATTATTACTACACAAGTTCTTTGAAATAGTGAATAATCAGGTGGAAATCTTTCGACAATGAGAGATTAATTTGGATTAAAATTACTAATTGTGTTGAACTTTCGAACTTGATAATTACTTGACTAGTGCAATTTTTACTGAATGAATGGAAATTATTTTTAAAATGTACATTCGTATTTCAAAATTGAAAATGAAACTGAAATCCCTCACTTTCTAACTATTGCCATTTTTTGAAAATTTCGGTTTGGGTGTAGGTACCTAGTATTTATTGGTTTTTTTATTATAATATTTATACCTACGTAGTAAAAACTTCGAAACAAATTCCATAATTATGAATGAGTCCACCTGTGGTAAATTATTGTGTGTACCTTAACGAAACTTTTCTGAACTGAACACATCTTCATTCAAATATCAAACATTCAATGTTTCACTGAATGGACTGACCCATTACTTGATGAACATTAATAACACTATCCATGGTAATAATTAAACAATTTTCACATTTTTTAATTCTAGATAAAAATATAACATAAAAAACCACACACTCTTCTCGACGACATTCAGTATCAGAAACGCTAAAGAACTAATGAATAACATCTCCAACATTAATCTGCCATCTAATTCTAAATTAGTTTCGTTCGATGTCACAAAATGATTCCTAAGCATTCCTCTAGAAGATTCTCACAAACTTATAGATGAAATGTTTCTCAAAAATCATTCAAATCCATTGATTCATTCTGATATCTCTTCACAATTGTCAGTATGCCTTAACCAAATTTAATTTGAATTTAATGATAGGTACCACATATAACAACAAAGAAGGCCTCTGAGCCCCTCTAACTGAAATTTCGAAAAAACTATACAACCTCATACAATTTCTCAAAAATGTATTTATTGGTTCATATAAGTATGTTGACGATGTGATAGCCTGTTTTACAGGAACACATAGACAACTACAGTAATTTTTTCAATAAATCAACTCATGAGAACATTAAATTCACAATAGGTAGGTAGGCAGGTAGGTCTAAAGTGAGTGGGTCTGCTCGACCCTCCACCGCAACCCATAAGGGTTTATTGTGGCTCACACCTATTCACACTCGGCCAAATAAACCCAGCTTCTTAACGAAGCCGATTAGTTAAAGTTCCTAGACAGGTAGATAACTCTGTCCTGGGTCTGTGACTGAAAACACCTGCACCAGAACCGGAAGGTGTTTTTGATCCATCTGTGAACCAGCAACTATCTGCTCTTAATATTTCCTTCTCCCGGAGGATCCAGTCCTTTCTACTCGGGAATAGTACTTTATAAGTCCGTTCGTAGTTGACAGTTGGAGGCATAAAGTTAAAGGTCATTTCCAGAATTCTGTGACTTCCAATATCAACCAACAGTCTGTTGCACTCTGCATTGAATTGATTTGTGCAATTGGTAATGTGCACAAGTCTGTATGCAGTCAATCTAGCCTCTCTCTCCGGAAAAATGTGGAGAGGAGATAGATCTAGAAGGATCTCCATGGTCGCTGACGGTGTGGTACTGATGGCACCACTGATAGCCAGACACGCCTGTCTCTGTAAGCCAGAGAGCTTCGCTTGGGCCGTTTTCTGTAAAGCCTTCGGCTACCAAGCAATTGCACCATTAGTGATCATTGGTCTGACAATCACCACATAAATCCAATGGATTTGTTTGGGACCTCAATTCCAAGTTCAACCACAAATCCTTCGACATGTCCATAGAGACAGTCTGGCTTTGTGTAAGCGTTCCAGTGAGCGTTCCAGGTGAGTCTTTTATCAAGGACAATGCCAAGATATTTCACCTCCGTTCCAAATGGAATGACCACACCACTGAGGGAAAGTGGCGTTAGAACGTCCAATTTTCTTCTCTTGGTGAAGGGGATAAACACAGTTTTGCTGGGGTTGACAATAGGACTAGAAACCAATAATTCGATAAACTTTTTAGACCTCGCAATAACAAAAATTAACAACAAACACGATTCCACAATTCACCACAAACCAACCCATAGATACACAACTATAAAATATAATACTGGCACCTTCAAAACACTTACTGGAAAAACATCAAATATAATAAAAATACTACTAAATAAAAAAATATTAACATAGCTGTTTTTTCGGGTTTTCCTCCATGTTCTATGTACGTTATCCTCGATAAGGATTATTCTCACAACTTTTCGGCAAAATCTCATTGGCCATCTCCAGCGATTCAAATCGAATGTGAATCACTACCTTCGCACAGACACACCTCTTAGAGCGCCTTAATGATTTTCCTGTAGTGCTTGTGTTTTGTTCTTAAAAAAAAATACGGAGCGAAACCCAAGAAAACAGTTCGGGTTGAACCGCGTCTGGAGTTTTGTGCTCGACGTTTCGGCTCGCATTTTGGAGCCATTTTCAAGAAATCGATGAGACTTGACGCCAGGGTCTCAATCTGCATTACTCCCCATAGTCTCGTCATGAGTTCTCTCTAAGGTTTCAATCTGCCTACTCCTTAGATTGAACTGAGGTATCGATGGGTGTTCGGTGGTATTACTATCGGTGGGAGCTACTGAAGTGGAAATGTGGGGGCGGGGCTTCGAGTGATTACTATCACAACTTACTGTAAGCACCGTATAGAAGTTTACTTATGTACGGTGCTGTAAGTGAGCCCTTAGTACTATCATCATACAAATGTTGTAGTTCTTTCTTGAAGATGATAATACATTTTATCGAAATATTGGAACAATTGCCTTTTTGGGAATGGAAGATAATGGTATTCTCAGATCGACAAACTCACCAACCGTTTCTGAGATATTTGCAAAACACTTTATTTCATGTTTCTAATAATCTGGTTCAAACCATTTTTCAATGCGACGTTTCATTCATTGAATTCCATCATCAATATATATTTTTAATACAGACCTGTATATTTTTTCATACATTTTGGTAGTCATTGTAATTACAAATTTATTGACATATCACATATGTATTTCTCGCCGTTTCTTTCGAAAAACAATTCGTCAAAATTTCATCATTCAACTTTTTTTTTAATGAGAAATTAAATTTCTGAATATCGTTGCAAGCAAATAGCAAATAGTATTGTAATACACCATATTGAACAAGAAAACAGTTGCGAAAGAGAATGTAACGAAATAATGAATCGTAGAAAATAAACATTATAACGGAGTGCCTCGTTTCATTTTTTGAGTTACCGTCACACGATATCGCATTAAATGTTCAAATTGTCTTCCATCATTTCGTAAACAAATACTTGCTCTAGAAATAGTTTGCTTGTGGCAGTTCTTTAACATCTGTGGGTGATAGCCATGCTCTTCTGATGAAATCTTTCAATTACTCAATATTTTCAAAACTTGTTCTGAATATTTTACCTTTTATGAAGTCCCACAACGAAAAATCTAGAAGAGAAAGGTCTGGTGAATGTGGTGGTCATTCAATGGGACCATTATTTACACTGTCAAAATATATAAATATGTAATGCACAAAATCTAATTTGACTGAACGACCCTATTATAGTGAAAATGTAGATACGTTAAATATAGTTGATCAAAAATCAGGCTTATATTGAAAGGGTTATATTTTTTGGAGTAATTGATTTTTGGGAAATAAAGTTTTTGGCTTTCTACTACTCCATCTTGATACAAAAAATGTGAGAATCTTCCAAAGAAAGCAAGGAAGCAATCAATTTTTTAAACTAGAAACTCTATACTTAGATGTGTAGATCATTAGATCATGCAAAAAAGTAACTTTCAAACACAAACTGGAAAAAAGCCCTCCTGAGACAGCTACTTTCATATAAACATTGAATTATACTAAAGAACAATTCTTTCGAAACAAATACTTTCATATGAACACTGAATTATACAAAAAATTATTTTTTTACTCAGTTTGTATTCCAAACATCCGTTACGGAATTATATCATATATCATTCACAGGATTGCTACACGATGTGGAAGATTCCCACATTTTTTTGTATCAAGATGAAGTAGTAGAAAGCTAAAAACTTTCTTTCCCAAGAAATCAGGCCTACTGATTAAAAAACATCAGTCGTTGCTGAGACTGCGAGATGTAATCTTCGTCCTCGCAGTCAACGCACATACCAATGGTGATGACTGCCGCATATCAGACGAAACGTTTGGTACTTCAGGTTCCATCAAGGGTTCCATTCGAACACGGCCTTACAGCCCGAATTCTGTTGTCTTCAATCGTGACTTCGGCTGTGAAAGCGAGCCTATGTTCTTTATATCAGCCCTCCTTTACTTTTTTAATATCGTAACTTAGTAGTGTGAATCGCCTTGTATATCTTTGATAT